CCTGAGTACCAACCCCCCCTGCAGAGGATGGATCTGATTCTTTTGGTCAAAGCCCATATTTCAGAACCATAGCTGAGTAGGATAATAGAAGTAAATCAAAAGTTCCACCTTTCAGGTCAGCTCATCTTCTTGACGGACCGGAGCAACATCCTCGTGACAGCAGAAGAGACCCCAGTCATCAATCCATCTCCTGCTCCACTCTATCGTCACTCAGGGGAGAGCCTGGGATCTGACTTCTGGGGGCGCGTAGCCCCCAGCAGGCCCAGCCTTTGACTTGGGCGTGGTCCCTAGTGAAGATTTTTGTTGGTGCAATTTTCTAAAGTTCACTGCTTATTTACAGACAAACACAAAACTAAATAATTTGTCCAACTAAAATAGTTAACATATGGAATTTAAAACAAAATCTCAGATACAGTAAAACCTACCAATATCTGCTAACATCAGTGACACACATGTTCATGTTCCAAGCAGCTGTGGAGTGAAGCAGTCCTAGTGGGGTCGGGGGGCATGCCCCTCTACAATTTTTTTTTAAATCTACTCAACAGCATTTTCCAAACATTTGAAGATAATTTACTAAATTCATAGTATTGTTTTATCTGAACATGGCTGTGGGCCTTTTCTCTTTCGTAAAGAACGTACGTTCATCTATGGAAAAGTAGACATTATGGGTCAGAGTTTTGCACTTTCAGTTCATTGTACATGAGGTAGGCCTATCGTTGTTACAGTAACAACTGCCTTTCTATTAACGGGCAAAGAAACGTATTCCAGTATAAATATATACATAAAGTGGTAATAAAGGAGGCTAACTAACTGTGTCCTTTCTAGACACAGTCTAAGAATCTAAGCTTTAGGGAAAAAAATCAGCTTAAATTAAATTATAATAATAATCATTCCCAGCCCAGCCAAAGCAATATGATCATCATCCATCATGTTTATCAGTAGTTTGAAATATCTTTAAACTGCAGTAGTGGGCTTGTAAGTCTACTGTAATGTTAACCAGTTATGGCTGCAGATAAACTCACCATCAGCTACATGAAAAACAATATTCCTTCACATAAAAAAGTTATTTCCTTCTAATGTAACAGCCTGTCCAACTTTTTTCTCCTCATTTCATTTTATTACAAACAGTCCATTCATCTGAATTCATGTTCCAGTGAAGCTCTTACTAAGCTCGTCTGTGATGTGTTCACGACCAGGGAAACCTCTGATTTTTGAGCGCTTCTCCAAATTGATTCAATAGTTTGGTGAATCTCAGATTTCAGAACAAAAATAAAACTGATAGTTTCCTTATTTTCAGGGGGTGCTGAGTGGTTGAACACCCCTAGAGTTTGCTTACAATCACCACTGATCTCACTCCTGAACAAGACTCAACCTTCAAACAGAGAAGCTCCTCTGGGCTGCAAGGAGACTCAGAGAAGCTGAGTCTCTTCACACTCTGCTGAAGAAGGTCCACCCAGTCCGGCCTGGAGCTCTGAGACCACATGAGCCACAAAGAGCTGAGACAAAACCCTGACTGTCCTGAAGCAGACCCACTCCTCTGTCTGCACCTCCACATCCTGCTCAGGATCCTCATCATCAGTCCTGATGGAGTCCAAGCTGAGCTCAGGACCAGCTCCACTTTGTGAGGCTGCAGACACAGATCATCTTTTTTTATTTGTTTGTTTATCAGGAACCACATACAGAAAATTAAGTAAAGATGTATCAGATTGTAACTTTCAGTCCTTTTCTATCATCAGAAAAAATGCACCCTTCTTCAAAATGTATAAAACCTTAACCTCTTAAGTCCCAAGGGGTTTTCTTGAAGTTTTTGCTCAAAATACCATGCTGAAATGTAACTGAGTGTAGCTCAGCATTTACAACTCTACTTAAATAATCTTGATATTAAAATAACGCTAACGCTTGGGAGATTTCATCGGAAGTTTAAGTAATAAAACAGCTGCTGTGGTTTTAGAGATGGGGTGGAACATAATTTAAAAAACTTTTTTTACGCTCACCTGAATTTTTTTCTTTCATTAGACAGTAGATAACTCATTCAAAACTATAATGAATCAGGCTAAAAACTGTTGGAAACCATAAATCCATTGTGAACATTACCTGTGCAAAGATTCATGCTGCTGAAGTTAACTGGAGCAAAGTTACAGAGGTTTTACTAAAGAAATAATTTTGTGTTTTGTCATTCTGCACAGGACGGACCATGGTGTTCACAAATATTACGTTTTTACATCCAAAAGTTTTTTTTTCATACCTACCTTAACAGACTTGTCATTGAATGTTTGTTCTTTTGAAAAATTATCCAAACATTTATTTGTCACATAT